AATCAGGATTTTTACCTCCCATCCACCACCAGGGGGCAAACTCTTGGATGTTGCAGGATCAGAAAACAGAACATTTTTTTTGGCTTTTAGCAGCAAAAATACAAAATCTTTTAGTCACCTCTCAATTATCATACAATCCTTGAAAATAAATCTTTGTTAAAGGCTTAACTTTTTTTTCCTCCAAATTCTGATAAAAAAAAATTAAGGAACTTGCATTGATGTTTCCTTCATAGTTTCCCCCCTATTTTTTCTTATTTGAAACTTTTCCTTTATGTGGAATTCTTATAGTGTTGGTGTGCTAAAATCCATCTTGTACCACTTCACATTTGAGTCTGACCCAAAAAGGGTCAGACATCCATCTATTTTCCATTATGCTTTATTCCTGCTGGGGAGGCCAGTGCTGCTGGTGCCCATCTCCAGCTGTCTGTGAGCAAGAAGCGGGTTCCACCCTGGACAGGTCACCAGTCCATCACAGGGCAACACAGAACAAACAACCTTTCATGCACACACTCACACCTAAGGAGAATTTAGAGAAGCCAATCAACCCAACAGTCATATTTTTGGACTGTGGCAGGAAGCAGGAGTACCCAGAGAGAACCCATGCATGCTTAGGGAGAACATGCAAACTCCATGCAGAAAGACCCTGGTCCAGGAATCAACCCCAGAACCTTCTTGCTGCAAGGCAGCAGTGCTACCCACTGTACCACTGAGCAGCCCACGATGAAAACAACCACAGCCAAACCAATATAAACATGAAAGTGCAGAAGGATGTAACCTGCAGCTGTGGTTGTCACATCTTTTCAGCCAGAATCCATGATTTCCTCATTAAAATAGAAACAGCAAGAGTAAAATATAAGGTGATGTTTGTTATGGCGTCTGCTGGTATTCCTGACAGAAATAAAATTCTCCAAGGACCAATAGGCCCGCTCCATTCTGAGAGGAAAGAGGCAATTTTTTATGTATTTCAATAAAACTTTTAAATCTATTTCTAAAGGACTCTTTGGTTCTCTTTGGTCAGTATTTTTTTTTTCCAGATAAAGGCCAATTGTGCCCCCTTGTGGACAGTAACGAGTCAGCTTCACTAGTGAAGAGTCAGGTTCTCCAGTACTTATAGACTATAAAGCAGGCATCCCCAAAGTCGGTCCTCAAAGGCCGCTTCCCTGCAGGTTTTAGAGGTTTCCTTGCTCCAGCATAGCTATTTTAATTTAAAGCTGATTAACAGGCTTTTGTTCAACTGCAATCATCATAATCAGCTGTGCTAAAGCAGGGAAACCCTCTAAAACCTGCAGGGTTTGCAGCGGCCCTCCAGGACCGGCTTTGGGACGCCTGCTATAAAGCATAACATGTTATTCTGCATTCATATATTACAGCACCTGGCTTGAATTTTCTTCACCTCTTGCCTACTGTGGCCATTGTACTTGTTCGACTAAACAATCACAATTTTACATAAATTCTTCACCACATTTGCAGCAGACTGACAAGATATCAGAGGCATAATATACAAAAAAACAAAAAAAAGAATCTGGTCTATAAGGTTGCATATAAAACTGCGAGCCAATCAAGAAAAAACCTTTAATAACCGCTAATCAGACGAATATATGCTGTAAAAAATATATGTAAAAAGAAGTGGATTGTTTTAATTAAATTGTGTTGAGAGAATAAAAGCCTAAAGAAACAATTGTTACAACAATATTTCATAAATACAAAAAACAAAACTATTCCCCCTCCGTTTACCAATTTAGACTAATACAAAAGAAAAATCAATCATAAACTCTACATAATCTAAGCTTCTATGTGTTGAACTGGTTCTGGCAGTGTTGTATAGTAAAAGTAAAAAAAGTAAAAGTAAAAATACTTCACTACTGTACTTAAGTATATTTTGGAGTACTTTATACTTTCCAAGAGTATACATTTTTTAGAGAACTTTCACTTTTACTTCACTACATTTAATTTAATTGCATACTTTTACTCTGATACATTTTCAATGTTTGGTTTAGTTACTAAGTAAAAAAAACAAACAAACAAACAAAAAAC